AAAAATTTAAAAACTTCGCTGCGCGTCGTGTGTCAAATTAATTTCACCCTGTAAAATATCATTTACCACACACGAATGCAAATAACTATTTCCAACTCTTGACTGAATTTCTGAAACGTTAGTGTTACACTTTATTCGCACATCCTGAAAGTTTTCAATCGATTTGTTAAATTTCAGAATGTAAACTTGAAAAAGTTCAAAACCGATAAGTTTAAAAGTACTTCAACAATAAGTTGTCTCTTTACAGGTTCAAATACCTGAAAAGCATCAACTTGATTGTTGTACAGAGAGGGAAACATTCTTTACACAATGGCCACCATTCAATTTTGAATAGGTCACCAACAAGTGCATAATATCGTACATCGCATTGTGGTGAAATTTAAATTTGCTTTTTTAATAATACCAAAATTACAGGGTGATTCACATAAAATTACAAACCTGACGAACTTTGAAAGTTTTATTAAATTTCTGATCAAAGCGACTCTATGACTTTGAAATTAAGTTGGCAACACTGAACTATTGGTGATATATGGACATCCTTGACAGTTGTTATTCTGCAAAAGATGTACAAAAATATGAAATTTAAATCTAGCATCTTCTAGACATTGTATTTTGAAATTGTCAATTTTGAATTAATAATAAATAAATAGGTATTTAAATTCCCAATTAACAACACATTAATACCTACATTAATTAAAAGTGTAACCACTTATTTTTATTGCATTTTTAAATTTTCCTCTCCAAACTGAGTGAAATGTACAGTTGCGGAATTAAAATTGGGCAGTATTGTCATTTTCACAATGTAAACTCTAAAACAACCTTTACATTAATAACCTCATTTTTTACTCTTGTCATGTTTATGTCACTGTGACTTAAAAATTAGCGTCACTGACAGAAAAGTTTAATTGTCAAATGTCAGTTATGAATGTCATGATGACAGTAAAAGGCAGTTTACAGAAGTGACAGAAAAATATTGCCCGAAATTTTAATTCCGTAACTGTAAATCCTTATCATTTATCAATATTTAAGCAAACAAATGGCAAAAATTTATTACATTTTGATGTAATTTTAGTTAAAATTTTATTTTGATTGCTTGCAAAATTATAAATTGGTGTGTATCAAAAAACCTGAGCTTGAAACCTGAAAACGCAACAGCAGCGTCCGCCG